GAGGACAATTTCTTCAATTATTATTTAAAGAGAGCTAGTTGAAGTCGATATTAACAGCTATTTTTGTATTATAAAGTCTATATCATAGTAATGCAATACTGAAGAAGAAAGGTAAATTAATTATTGCACGTTACAATAATAATAATAATCTTATTTGTTTCATCTACACTTATCTGATTCTTAAATGAAGATGAGAAAAAAGTTATTTATATCTCTGATGTATATACTTATATTAAAAATATCTAGCACTTTTTAAACTTTTTAATATACATTTATAAAAATCAAACTGCAGTAATTTCCACGCGATTGAATATTTTATCATACGAAGAATATGTGCCATACGTAAATTTCTGAAATGAGTTACGCAGCCATCTATGTAAGAAATATTTGTTTCTATTTACTTACTCTCACCGTTTTTCCACACATCATTCTTTTCTACGCTATACAAGTGTTTAGATTCATCCACTGAAATACCAGTACAAATTTTTCGACAAAATATACACTTTATTCTTACGTTCCATTGCACTCTCGCGCTCGAGAAATCACTGGAGCGGAAGACGCAGGAGCGTAAAATACAATATTCGGGCTTGTTCGAGATCGTGTAATGTAATCTGGGTGTAAATCGCAACGGTGTGCTGCGAAATGCGAGCGGGACTGCTTGCTTGGCGCTGCAGTTCACGTATGTAGAGCAAGTGGCAGCGTTCCAAATCTCGCGAGTACGTGGGATAAACATTTCCACCATAGGACAACCATTTTCCAACGGCTTCGGGGGGGGGATATGCGCTCCACGCGATATGCTCCATAAAAGTATCAGTCCACTTGTGAGTATCTCATGACAGTTTTTGCATGCCAACTGGCAGACATGTTTGCGTAGAGCAAACGAATAAAGTCTTTATGGAGAATTTCTTCATCAGAGAAATGAGAGGAAATCAATTAATTTTAATCAATTAGGATCGAGAATGTTTTGAAAGCTTTATATTATAATATTTACTATTTAATTATTATTAAAGCAAAAGCGATTTTTATCATTTCTACTTTGTCCTTTTAAACTTGCTTCTTTATCAAGCTGTTTATATTCTATACTGATATTAAATGGGTAAAATATCGAAAATATCATAGAGAGAAGAAATGAGACCATTGAGTTTTGATATAAAACTGATATATTTCAAAATATTAAAGTTTCTTATTCAATTACAATTTTAGATATTAAATTTAGGAGTTTACAACGCACTTGTTTGCACAATCATATATAAGAATAAACCCTGAACTTATCTTCTAGTAATTTAGACATTTTAACGTTACGCATCATTTCTTCCTGCACTGTAAACTGTCAGAAATTTCTGCGAACACTGCTTTAAAAGTAGTAAATTTTCAAGTTTCATGTACGTTTATATTCGAATATATTTCCTTTCTTCTTCGAAGTTTAGAGTCGCAAAGTTATTTCTGTGAAGATATAATGTCATTTAAAAAATTTACAATTTAATTTTTAGTTGAAATTTATGATGGCGAGATAGTATTAGTGTTAATGTGAAATTAAAGCGAATTAAATAGAAACTTCCCCCACTTTTTTCTTTTGTTATAAAAGTGCTCTATTTTAAGCAAAATGAATCTAGAATGAATCTAGAATGATTTCAAGATTCTTTCGATTTAATGATTTGTACCTTGTTATCTTCAGATAATTAAATTTTCGGATGACATTGATATTTGGAAATTACGTTTAGTTTGTCGTTTATCGAATTACGCGGTAATGAATCGATATTTGAGATTGAGCATGTAGAATAGATGGGATTAATATTCAATGGAGATTTGATATTCGACACCTATTAAATCGATTCTCGTTCAAATATTGACACATGGCACGTGATCATGAAAGAAAACTTGCATAAATCGTGCGTTACAATGAACTAAAGTTTAGGTTTTCTAGTCTAGGTTTTCATTTAATTATTACAAGAAAAATGAGGAATTATAAGTAAAAGTAATTTAAACGATATGGATATAATAAAATTGATAGTAATATTATTGCATATAAATTCAGTTACTGATTTAAAATATTTAAAAAAATTATTTTTTGGTGATATTTCTAAATTTTAACATGTATCTGCAAAATTTGTATAAAATTTTGTTTAATTTAATAAGTAGTCTCATTGTGAACAATTTAGCTAATATTAGACTTTTGGTCTAATTTAAATAAATCTATTTTTGAATGTATAAATTTGGATAACTATTGTTTCTTTCTATCCATTATAAATATCATCAATTTTTAATTTTGTTTAAATGAAGGTGGTCACAGAAAGATATAGAAAGAGAGATAAAAATTTTTGTAGTAACTTTTGAGTTTTTTTTTTAGACACGTTAGCTGTGAACTCATATGAGAATTCACAAGGCATTACACTGAGCTACAGGCGAACTTGAGTACTTCACGGGCACTAATCACACTAACTGGTCATGATCGGAAAACTTTTCGAACGGTTCTCGTTCCTCGTCATGAGCCGACCGAACGATTCGACGAACGTGGGAACGACCGACTCGCGCAACTAATGGAATTATAGAACGACGATTCTCCACCAATCTCGTAGGACTTAGAAGCTTGCGAACTGTATCCCACAAATACTATCGATGAAACTTTTCTCCTAAAATTTTGACATCTCGAATAATGCCATTTCTACACATTTTGGTCGTTACGAAGTAATTAAAAATTTACTGCTTGAATACTGATTCGCGATAAAATCATTCTTTAATATATTTAAGTATCGATATCAATTCCGAGTAAAGAATTAAATATTTTCTTACATTATTTTCAATAGTAATACGATAGGAAATATATTTTTTGTCTTATAAGTGATCAAAGGCAATTTAAAAATTACAAAGTAAAAAAATTTACTTTTATTAAGGTGATTCTTTAATAAATCGAGTTATAGAAATGTCTAATTTTATTATATAATGAAGTACCGAAATTGTGCAAAATTCTACGGTAGGTTAACGATGAAATAAAAGAGAAAAAAATATTAAGAAAAAAAGATATAACCTTTTACGTATAACTTAGTGATGGGGATAAGGCTCGCAGATGCTAACTGCACACAAATCTTACATTGACTTTTCTAAAAAACGAGATTATAATAGTTTAAAAAATTACGATTTTAATAATAACAAAAAAATAATAGCTCAACGGCCATTCTGGAAAATTTACGTGCATAAACTTGCATATCTGGAAACACAGTAGTGTCCCGCTAATAACGAAAATTATCTAGGTATCAGATTTTTAAAGGAGCGTACACTATACTATTAATGTATTCTTAATTTATATATTAATATTATTAATGTATTCTTCTACATCTAAAATCTGATTGAATGATTTTTAAATGATTAAAAGAACACACCAATGACAGCGCTCACTCGACTTGAGTCTGCTGAACACAATTTATATATGTAGAGTCTCTCACAATAAAAGGAATAAGGAATTAGGAATAAAGAATGATTTCAATCTATCAAAAATCGGATATATCGGAATACACAGTTTTGGATAGGCTGAAATCATTATTCCTCATTACTAATTCCTTATTCCTGCTATTGTGCGCAGTCTCTTACAAGGAATAAGGAATTAGGAATAAAAAATAATGATTTCAAACTTATCAGAAACAACATATTCAGATGTATTGGATTATGTGTTCTGATTATCTGTTAGTTTAATACGGATTTGTTGTAGAAGTTTAATGCAATAAAAGTGTACAAAGGGACATGTAAGTACAGTTACAAAGATAAATCACTAACCCCTATGCTTGAAATCGTGCATTTTCGTCATTTTGGCTAGCATTTTTAAATCAATTGCGATACTTTATTAATTCTTCAAAAATTATTATTCTTAAAAAATTATTCGTAAAAATTATAGAATGACAGTTATAATGCTCTGTCAAAAATCATTATTATTCTTCGAGAAAAACTATTGTACCAAAAATTAAAAATTAAAACCAAAACGATAGCATCTTAATTAATCAAAATATTAAAACTGAAATCTAAGTAATAATATGTTTCTTTATTACTTAACTCTAATAATGTATATCATTCATATAAAAGATTATAACAATTGACGTCAAGTTAAATTCCATAAAATTTTATGTATCATTCATATAAAAGATTACCTTTTTAAAAAAGGTAAAAAAAGCGCTAAAAATATACATCCTTCTGGAATCTAATTGATATGTATTTTTTTATTATTTCAAATAGTAGCAGTTTTAATTCTTTTTCAAAAATATTATTGAAGGTTCTCTTATTCCAATCCAAATAATGGCAATTGTAATTCTCTATCAAAAATTATTACTCTTCGAAAAAAAAAATTAATGTATGAAATTAAAAATTAAAATCTAAATAATAAATCTTAACTAACCAAGTTAAATTCTATCAAATTAAAAAGTAAAATACAAGTGATACTATCTTTGTTATTTACTTAATTCTATTATTTATATAAAAGATTTAATATCAATAACTAGCGCCAAGTTAAATTTCACAAAATTTTACGTATTATTCGTATAAAAGATATGATATCAACAACTAAAAATAATAAATTAAAAATAATTTATCTATAGAACAATTTAAAATTGGTCTCTTGCACCATTTGGTTTTTTTGTATGACTAATGGTTTTGATAATATATTAATTAATGTTCGCATGAGTGACGTTTTTTATCAATTTCTGCAACTTACAAGCATTATGAATCATTTCATAAAAAAAGATCTAAAATTGTTTTTCGTGAAATTACACGTGTCTCATATTGTTATCTATAAAATACGTCAGCTAATTAACAAAAAAATAATAATGTTTCAAAAGCGCTCAGTTTGACGTAGAATGCCTTAAATATAGCCGTCCTTGTCACGTGTAGTTAGTCGTATCAGACATTATGCGACATTGGCGATTATCAGTCACGTAATTAAAGGTTTCTATGAAGAAAAAGCGAAAGGTAGGGCATAATAAATAAAAACGCGTCAGTTGTACGGTAATGTGAACATACATTTTTGAAATATCGTTGGTGCCACATAGATTTTGCTGAGAACTCAGGTAATGTCAATAATGTCAAATCACTTGTCGAATTGAGAAAAATACTGTTATAATCATCTTCATAGATACTGGAAATATAGTCAAAATTATTAGGTTATAAATTTTATAATTCTTAGTAGCAATACATCGGATTGTAAAATTATTTCGGAAAAGAATATATCGGATATTTGATATTTTCCGGATATCTGACCGGATTCTGAGATAATGTCTAAAAAAAAAATTGAGTAAAAAAGAAAAAAGAAAGCAAAAAGAAAAGGGACTGTAACAGGAAAAATAGTGATAATAATTATGAGAACATATCTAATACAAGCTAGAAATTAAATGCCTATACTGGTCGAAGCTGGATCTTTAATGCTTAGATAATTCAATGTGAATTATAGATACTGTACATATATGTATGTTATATAGCATATTTGCAGTCATTCGAACTGCATGTCAAATTAGTTTTCCGGACTTATAGAAGCAATTAAACTATTGTAATAATTATGATTTTAATGTTATCTGAATTTGATTCATCAATAGAGATGACTATAGAGAAAAAAAATCGTAACTTTGCAGCAATATATATAAGATATAGTTATATGAGTATGCATATTCTTATTTGCATAATAAAAAACAATTTAATGATATATTATCCAAATATTTATGCTATATAATAATCGCAAATTTATATCAATTTATATCAATTGTCGATAATATCAGCATTTTTCAATTATTTTCGGATCCTCGAAACCCCTTTTTATATGGAAACTTTACTCAGGTTCTTAATAATATCTCGTCGGTGGCATGATTATCATTTCATCTTTCTTTCGATGAGAACAAATGATGCATCAAGCACTTTATATGTAATTCGGAATATGCTCTATATCCTATTCTTGTTTTACGTCTAATGAGTGATAAAAATAGAATGACACGATACCGCTGATATTGTCGATATCCCTGAATATAGCCTTAACTGAATTTCTTGTACAATTTATCTCTTTTTTTATCTTTTCAACATGAAAAGAAAAAGAGGAAATACGAACTATGTACTGGAATTTAACTTGGTGCCATTTATCGTTATTAAAGTCAATATCAAATCTTACATAAACATACCAAATCTTTTATATAAATGATGTATATTACTAGAAATAAGTAAATTATATTGTATGGCCTTGACTGTACAGTAAGAAATTAATATTGCATTAACAGAATTTAACTTGGTGTCACAATTGTTGATATCAAATCTTTTTTTATATGGATCATTCTAATCATACAATATATGAATCATATACATCTCACTAAAGTTAATTCAAAAATTTGTGATACTTGGTTAAAATAGGAACATAATAATTTTAATGTAATAATTTTTGAAGGATAATTAAAGATATTACTGGATTGAAATAAAAAGGCATTTAATAAAAATATTTTTAAAGAAAAATGAAAGTTACTATTATTTTTTTTTTTTGGTAGATTGGCATAAGAGAATACTAAAGTAAAATTTAATAACTTGCCACTAGTTGTTGATATTAAATCTTTCTTTAACTTGATATTGGTGCTATACCATATCTTTTATTTTTATGTAGTAATTTTTGAAGTTAAAATTGCTATTATTTTTTTTGCGAGATTGAAATAAGAAACTTTCAATAAAAATACAAAAAGATAGCGTATCACTTATTGTTGGTAAAAATAATATATTTATTATGTAGGAAAAAGAATTATTTTAACAATTCCAGTTACATATTTATATATGAGAAATATCTAAATTATCATAAGAAAAATCAAATTAGATGGAACATAGATTTGTAGTAATATATTATAAAAAAATAAATTATAAAATTCTCTTTTAAGTAATACATTTGTTCGTTACTACTATTTTTTACTTTGGCTGATTAAAGTAATCGCACATTGATGTAAGCAGTTTAACACACAAGTTAATTCGCAATGATATCTTTTACAAGTTGGAAGTGAATATCTTATGTAAACGCGAATTTTAGGTGAAAAAAAGGAGTGTTATTTCAGAAGTCTCAAAAAGTTAGAACAACAATGACAAAAATTACAATCATAAATTGCATCATTGCTGTTTGTGTAAGTTTTTTTAATTCTTGAATCTAAAATAGTATATTATTCAGATTGTAAAAAATTAATATTTAACAAGAATTGTAAAAACGTAAAAAATTTTATTTGATATTTATTTTATACTTTACATATAAATATATAAAATTTATAAATATATAAAATAACATTGTGTGCAAGTGAAAATGTTTTTCTGCTTTTCGAATATTTAAAATAATTATGCATATACTACATATTTTACATATACTACATATTTTATGTATTGAAAATGGTAGTTAAGATACATAATAAAATATTTTAAAGATTTTTATGCACTTCAGTAAAATTGATCAAACTTATTTTATACTATATTGTAGTTTTATTAATGAATAAGAGAGATTTACATTAAAATTCTTTGAAATACACAATGTTATTTCGTCATATTTTCAGGATAAATTCTAAGAAAAAATTTTCTCCGTGTGTACACGCACATACACAAGCGCGCGCGCGCGCACACACACACACACACACACACACACACTCGCAATTAATTCTTAATTGTATTATTAAAAAAATTAATTTTACAGAAATGGCAATATTTTAAAATTGCATATTGCTAATTTTTGAAATATAGTTAATAGATGGATTTGTAGCACGCCAAACAGAACTTTTAACATCTGCGCCATGCATTAATGTGTACAATAATATTAAAGAAGCTATCGAGCAAGTAAAAAACGTTTTCTATACGTACATTACAAACCAAACTAATACGGCTGAAAATGAAGAATTTATCAATACAATGAATAATCTGCTAACAAATATAACAAAGAACTTTGATAATATTGTAAATTGTAATATTCAAAATCCTTTTCTATGCATCACTAATGTAAGTATTTCAATTAATTTTTATTAAAATTTATTATATAATTTAATTTTTTTTATTCTTAAACATTCTTTT